AAAAAAAAAAAACCTCACTGCCTTCGATTAGGACCCAACTCATAGTGACCCCTACTTGGGTTCCTGAGGTGGTATCACTATGGAAATAGATTGTCCAACCTTCCTTCCAAGGAGTGGCTGGTGGGTTTGTACTGCCAGCCTTCTGGTTAGCAGTCAAATGCCTTAGGCAGTAGGCCACCAGAGGTCCTGTAATATAGATACACAGTCCATTATCAAACATAAACTTTGGAAATATTTTTTATACTTTGGCTAATCTTTTCACTATCCTAACAATGGTTTTCAAAAAGCAGACATTTTTGATTTTGGTGAAATTCAAAGTCCATCAGTTTTGTAGTTTTTGAGTTATTCTTTTTGTATAGTATCTAAGAAATCTATGTCAAATCCAAGCTCCCTTTCTCTGTAGAGTTGAAACACGAAATTCATGTGTGGCGTCTTACTGCACAGCGCATCAGCCCAGCCAGCCGTGAAGAAACTGCCGTCCGTGACCTGCTCCTGGGCAAAGTGCAGGCACTGCAGCAGCTGCTGTCCTGGAGGCTGCACACTTTCCATACGTGAGTTACAGTGGTTATCCTTTAGAGTGTCCCAGGATATATACAGTTGTAACCCTGGTCTGCATATGATCAAGTACATTTTTGGTGCCTCTCACTTTGTGGCAGATTGAGGGCACATTATTTTATTACTCTTCACACTAACACTATGGGGTGGACAATGGCATTATCCCCAGTTTGAAGTCAAGAAAGCAGAAGCTCAGAGAGCTTAAGCACCTTAGGGGTCAGGATTATCCAGCCAAGAAAGAGAAACGATGAGGGTGAATCACATTCTCCACTCTCCACCCACTTCATAGCTCCAGCTCAGCACAGAACTGTTATGTAACAAGAATTAAAAAAAAAAAACAAACACAACAACTATTCTAACAGAATAATATCCCACTAGTTTATTTTCAAAGAGCTCTGGTAGCATAGTGCCTAAGGCATTTGACTGCTAACCAGAACGCTAGCAGTTCAAACCCACCAGCCATTCCTTGGAAGGAAGGTTGGGCATTCTACTTCTGTGACACCACCTCAGAAACCCAAGGAGGGGTCGCTGTAAGTCGGGGCTGACTCGATGACACATAACAACAATAACAACAGTTTATTTTCAAGGAGCCTTGGTGGTACAAAGGTTAAGCATCCCACTACTAACCTATAGGTTGGTGGATTTAACTCACCAGGGACTATGTGGGAGAAAAGACCTGGCCAACTGTTCTGGTAAAGATTACTGACTAGGAAACCCTGTGAAGGAGTTCTACTCTGTTCTAAAGGGTCACTATGAGTCAGAATTGACTAGTTGGCAACCAACAACAGTTTATTTTCAGGGATACATAACCTACTCTTTCTAGTTCATACTGACTCACATTGATCCTATAGGATAGACTAGAACTGCTGCATTGGGTTTCCAAGGCTGTAAATCTTTCCAAAACAGTCTGCCACATCTTTTTCCCAGGGTGGCTGGTGGGTTCAGACCACTGACATTTGGGTTAGCAGTAAAGCATTTTAACTACTGTGCCACAAGGACCCTTCAAAAGAATACATAAGTCCTACTAAATTCATTTCCTGACATGAGTTTTTTTTTCATCAAAGTTGAGACTTAGAGATCATCAATAAATTTTTAAGATTGGTTTTTTCCCAGTAGGCCAAGGGTTTGTTTCTTCCACTAGGCCAAGGTGCTGAGCTCCAACCTGTCTTTGTTTGGGAAACTCTGATGGGGAAAACCAAGAATATATTTTGATTTCACATCTCTGAAGGATGAGTTGTTCCTAAGATAGAGCTATAAATTGAGTGGAAATGAGAAGTCAGTTGTGGTGGAATCTTTGTAAAAGAGAGGAGGACTGACTGATCTTGCTGAAACCATTCTTCTGTCAGGAGAGCAGAAGCCAGTGAGCTGAAGGCACAACAGGATGAGGTGCCCCCACATGAGAACATTGGAAACTGGCTGCCTCATGGCCCTCTAATATGATAAAAGACTGAGAGCTCTAAGGAATGCATTAGAGTTCAGCCCAGGCCTGGCTCTCTCCATCATTCTGCTCAATTTCTAGAAGCCAAAGAAGCACGCTGGCTCTCCTCAGGCTATGGCAAGGGCTAGCTAGGTGCAGGCTAGGGACAACCCACAGACTTCCACAAACAGTATAGGTCTGTAAAGGAGAAATTTTCTGTAAGTTAAAGGAATGAAGGAGAATTGTCTTGAAAATATTCAATGAACTTTAGGTTTCAGCATTGCTTCACCTAGTACAGAACATTGAAGCTATCTGCTTGGTTTACCTCAGTGGGTGGCACCAGGTCTGGTCAGAGCAAGAAATTCAGTGACCCAACCAGCTACCCAGAGGGACCGAGTAGTTGATCCTGCGGGCTTGGGACCATAGTCTCAGGGGACATCAAGCTCAATTGGCATAACATACTATACAAAACATTGTTTCACCTACTACTTTGGCGAGTAGCGACTGGGACCTTAA